TCACGAATAAAAAGAGTAACAGAAAATTCATTCGCGTGACTTTTTGTCGGTAACGGGTTCCTTTTAATTTCAAGCAACGGGTGACGTATTTCGTCACTTTTTCTTATTTTTGAAACGCATGCAACGCTGTTGCTCGCGCACACGGCATTTGTTGGCCTAACACCTGAGCTCCATAATTCTTCGCAGTCATCCGTTGTCTCCTGTTCCGCAGAAATGTGAAATAACGTGCTTTTTTAGAGTGCATAGAATCGAATCAGAATGTAGGTAGTGTGAACACAATAAATCCACGTCCTGCGTTCTTAAAGCTATTAGTGAACATATATAGTATTGCGGCTTTATTGTGTTATTTACTAAAATTAATCGGGAAAGCAGTCGTCGTGTTAGCTTACGTCCAAACAAGCTGAACTAAGCAGTTCCTCCACTATTAACGCTTGGTTAATTTCGTAACTAAAAATTGCTTCAAAGAATGAAAGCGAAAAGAAATGTCGCTTTATATTTTGCGGAAAAGGTAAGAAAGACGAAAATGCTACAAAGAATGTAAAAAAAATAAGAAGAAGGTGTTTTATTTAGCGAAACGTCCAGGCATCATCTTGATCTTTTATCCTAGAATGCTGAAAGAGATGGTTGCTGCTGGCGATAGCGAAATCCCAATAAATTTAATGCATTTCAATAAGGCCAGGTTCTTCAAATACGTAATTATTGATGGCATCGAGTAGTCCGAGAATATCTTAGTAGCTTAAAACAAGTATCGTCCTGTTCTTACAATGCCTTCCAGGGGTAAAACATAAGATAGCTTGTTGTGCCGGAAATTATTCCGCCCCCCCCCCCCCCCCGCCAAAAAATAAAAAAGTGGCAACAGAAGTTTGGCAAAACAAACGAAAAGTCTCTGCCACTCTAAGTGTTTTTGTTAATAAAGGTAAACACCTTGACGGGCGTGTTTCAGCAAAAACGTTAAAAAGTTTCTACCAACATTAGTGCAAATAAATAATTTCACCAATTAAAAAAGCTAAATTTTCACAAACGAACAAAGCTGGCAACGCAGAAACGTGGATGATATTTGCATCATTCGCGTTTCTACGCCATGAACCATGTCCGCGAGTGGAAACTTTGGCACATCCCAGCGCTTATCATGTCCTCCAAGTCTTCAGAACATTGACTGATTCAAGTGTTTTTAAAGACTCTCAGCGAGATTATTTCAAAATTTTATCGGTAAGTTTATTTTTACTAAATAAAATGTTAGTTGGTAATTTTTGTGTTTATTGTATAGCTAATTATTATGATTTCGCAATGCCTCACGTCCGCCATGGCGGTCAGTTTGCTCCTGAAAAGAGTTGTTTTCTTTTTTTCTCAACCTTTTTTGGGGCAAGAATTTTTGAAAGACTTCTCTGAAACACTGGCTATAGAAAAGGTATTAAATTCGCCTTTGAAAGGACGATTGCGGTGAAGAAAAATACATTTTATTGTTTTTTACATATTTGTTTTGATTTCAGTTTAGAATATTTTATCAGTGAGATTTTAAACTGTTTTCGAGAGCGTCGCACGACGTAGTGCGACGCCGCGCGGTGTCTGCTGAATTGTTTGCCGCCCAGATCTTTAGTTCCAAGAAAACTTTTCAAACAGTCGATGAGAAGTAGAAGGCTTTTCGAGTAAAGGCATTTCTCCTACGTTCACAATAAAAGGCTAACCATTATTTTTTATGTGTTAGAATTATGCACACGCGCGTGCACACATTCAACACACACGCGCGCACACCCACGTACACGCATACGCACTCACACGAAGAAAAAGCCAGCCTGAACGACAACGTGCGCGAACCTTACGTAAGGCGCCCACCGGTGGATTTTTTGGCGAGCGTTGCCGTGGGAAATTTACGGATATATTTTTAGTCCCTATGAAACTCGGGCTCTGTACCTTATCGGCAGCTATCCGACGCGCCGCTTCAGAAAAGAGACTCCGTGGTACGCTGATTTTGAAGAAGTCGAGCCTTCTGTTGTGAGGATTGGAATTTCGCTCGGTGTTCGCAGAAGTATTCATTGCATATACGTTTAGCGTTACGCAAGCGATAGGATGCCAAAAGTCTGGCGTATCTATTTTTTTTTTTTAATTTCTATGCTTTTACAAGTGGTACTGAAGATCGGAATTGAAGAAAAAGCCCAAAACGGGATTAGATCGATAAAAGTTTCCAGATGTCAAATCCCGGCTAGAAACCTAAAAATAAAATGGCTTGACATAACTTCAATATCGAAATATTGAGCGAAACCATAAAAATCTGCGTTAAACGATTGTTGAAGTTCAAAGGGGAGCTTTCGCGACGTTTCTATGGTCACCGACTGGGCTCTGAATTTTTTTTTTCAACCCACTAATACACACGGTTGAACTAGTAACTTAAATTATAAGTAAAATAAACAAGATAAATATTTCTCGCAAAGAAAATTCATTTTAAATTTGGTCTTCATCACTTTTTTTTTAATTACCAATTAAAAGACTCTATAACTAAAGACATGAAGAAAGACGTAATTTGAGCAGCGCGAACTGTTTTTGACAGGCTACAAGAAGTTCGATAGTGTGAATTGAATTCTGAATAAACTCACTCTGGCAAAAAAAGAAAAAAAAAAAGTGACCTTTTGTGTTGATTTCTTTACATTAGATACTAGCCCGTTTTAAAGCGCAAGAAGATTTTTATGCCGTGATGAGTAAATCCATAATTATGCCGGGATAAGTAAATCCAGGGTATTCTAAAAGCGCGCGTTTGGAATTTGGCTAGCTCGAGAAAACGCCGGAGCTCTATTCAAGACTGTTCCTTATGATTGTAGTGAATTATGAAAATCTGAATTAATTGACTGTTTTGTTTTCCCCCCAAATACCCATGGACTACTTTAAATTTCCGTGTACTATTATAATATTATCATTATTATTACGAACAATGTACATATACAGGTTGTTTCTTTGCTGCTGTGAAAGAGGGAAAAGTTTTTCAAGCAACATCTGAACTTTCTTTTTTTCTTCTCCGGCTCTCTTTCCAAATAAAAAAAAAAATGTATACGATTGTGGATTTCGACTGGAGCGAAAATATGACACTGCATGATGTTAAGTTCAGTACTGCAGCCCCTTTATTAACTCCTGTTCCGTTTTCTTCACTACCGGCTCGGTGTGATTGCAAAGGAAAAATATATTTGTGGAGTTTTCAAGCTGGGGGTAGGAGGTGGAGCATGCTGCGTCTACTGCGACGGATTCTCATAATAATTTCGCCTACGCAATATTTCTGTTAACTAGAGCAATCTTAATAATCTGATCGTCGTATAACTTCATGGCAATACTGGCGACAAACGATCCGAGTCATCTTTTTGGGGGAATATATATTTCCTCCATTCTCATTACCGCAAAACGGCATAGAACCTTACGACGTAAATTATACAATAACGGCTCATTCTCACAAGTCACGACGATAAAATGAATTGTGGCTCAGTGACTGATTATGTCTCGGATGAATGCAAACATTATTGGAGTTTTCGGAAAATTGCAATGCGTACTATTTATCATTTCTACAAAACGTGCTTGACGATCAACCCTGCACAAATGAATTACTTTACAAACACGAAAGATACGTATTAGTGAGTTTGTTTTTAGAAGCGGTCTTAAAGAAACGTGGGGCCTGGCAAATTCCGAACATAACGCTTCTCAACCAATCATGTAGTAGCGTTAACCGATAAGAACGCGCAACAACTAATCAGGAAGCGTGAACATCATGAGCCACGCCACGGTTTCCTTTAGGCAGCAACTACAGGACATGCACCAAATTAAGGGCAGAAGATTGAGTTACGTAGTTGACACCATCGAAACATGTGTCTTCTGATATAATTCAAAACGAGCGTGTTGGTGAATAGATATGAATATTTGAAAGGATAAAACACCAAGGATGGGGGGTGGAAACAGGGAAGTCATGTTTCCGTCCCAGTCCAGGATGTTCTATCCTTTCAAGTATTTGTATAAATGTTTTCTCTCGAACGCCTTTCCCCCCACTGCGCACGCGATCGAACCATCTCGAAAAGGGCAGCATCATTCATTAGGGACTAATCGGGATTGCATAGTCTGATTACTTTTGAAAGGGATAAAGTTACTCGTAACCGTTGCTATATTTTTCCTCTCCCCTCTTCCTAATAGCGCCGTTTGTTTCCACGACCCTTTTACGAAGGATGTATCGAACCAAGTCTCCAACGAAGGGGACGGCCTACCAAAAGGGGAGGATTAAGAGGATGTGTAGAGTTGGTAATCCGGTGAAGCTATAGTACAATAATGCGTAGCACGAAAGGCCCGTTTTCGAAACCGACCGAAAGATGGGCCGTTTTGAAAATCCGAAGTACTAATCGGAAAAGTAACGGCTATTACTATAAGTAGCGGCGATTTACTTTTTCTCTCAAGTAATCCAGTAATCTAAATGAATACTTCTGGGCCAATACTAATTGTAATCTATTGTTTTTGTGTTTGTTTCTTGAGTAATGTGTACAAGACTGTGTGCAGGGCTGCCTTTGTCTGCACTACACTCGTCGAACGCGCTCGAATGCGAGAACCAAGCGCCGGACGCCTGCGTTCCGCGTTCTAACGCGTTTGACAAGTGCAGTGGAGACAAAGGCAGCTGACTTTAAGTCTACCCTCTAATCCTTCCATTCACAGCTCGGCGTTCTTTGACGTCCATGCGACGCTCTAGTCACCTCCTCTCCCTCACTTTCTCGACGCATAAGGAAGGCGGGCGCGCGGAGCACGCGTACCTACGTTCCCAGCATTCTCCTTGATGCTTGGGTAATTAAGCGAAAGGTCTATTCCCTCACGACGTACTGCAGCGAAAACCCTGCCTTATGTATGATGTGCGAGCAGTCTGACCGCGACTTCAGAGTGCTTGTCTAATATATGTCACGCCCTGGTCACCTGAAGGTGAGTTGGGAAGTGTAGATTGGCCTTATATTGTAGTAGACCCAAGAACGGAGGCACGCGGGGCTACTCACCACTAACGCTGTAAGGAGAGGCTTCCGCCACGGCTTCCACCAGCAGAAGGAGGCACATCAAGGTCACGAGGCATCCGAGCAGCTTGTCCATGCTTCCAGGGCGACCGCGCCGGGACGAGCTGCACGTGACCACAAAAGAGGACGTCATCAGTGAAGCTCGCTTACTTTTCCTGCTTACACGAGTCACGATTCACTCGCTCGATCGGCGAGGCGGCGAAACACACCATATCGGACTAGCTTTTGAAGCGTGGGTTTTTGCAATCCTTCGTGGAAACACCTTGCCTGATTACGTTCTGTTTCTTCCAAATGCACAATTCGGGAAAGCTTTCAGGTACTATGCAGAGGTCACATCTCTCGCGCTACTTATGACAGAGCCTTTTATCTTGGAAATAAAATTACCGAGTTCATAATGTAACGTATTATTTGAAGACATTTCACGAACACAAAGAAGAACGAAAGAGAAAACGCCATCTTTCTCACGTAAACGGGGCGCTTCCGGTTCGGATACTGCAGTGCGTGCGTAGCTATCTTACACTCCTCGTTGACGCAGACATATTTCCCGTCGTGCCGACCCTTACTTCCTGGCTGGTATACCGCCTTGTCGGCTAGGGCGTGCAATCCGAAGGAGCGGTTCGGAAAAGACGACTTTATCTCTGTTTGCAGATATACGAGGAACAATGGTCTTCCTTTGGTACCTCCTGTCACAATGCGTCTGTCACTTCTTCTCACGACAGACACCTGAGTGCTTTTAAATAAACTCTATTGAACCGCAGCCCGGTACGATCGCCAAACAATGTGTCGTTTATCTGTCGTAAATATAAGACACGCCGAACAGTACTGAACGCCATGTATTCGCCGCTCCGGCGACCGAAATGGGGATCGCCACTATCGGACAAATATGACCGTTTTACTCTGACAGATCGTGCCGTGCCATATGCCAGTTCAACACGCAACGTTCTAGTTCCAGCAAGCAAGCATCGTACACAAAATGATTTGCCACGAGTCTCATTCACAACGTTTCATCCCTGCGGCGATGCGTTGGCATAAGCCAGCTTCCAGAGGGTCGACCTTCTTCGGAGAAGCGATGGATGGACTGCGGCTGTGACGAACGTTGATATAAACGCACGATGTTTGGTTCACGCGGTAGCGTAGGTTGCGTCCAGAGCGACATGGGTAAGACGCCGATACGACGGTAACAACAGGCTCACAGGAACAACTATTCCATCGCACCAACTGCCGACAACATGTAATCAAGGAAGCCACTAGGGACGAGCAGAAATTGCGAAGGGACTAATTTCGTTCAGTTCAGTGTCCTTTCACCAACTGTCGTCCATTTTGCTAGAGTCGCGAATACATAGCTTGCACTGAGGTCACATCACCTGCCATTGAGGTGGTCTCTCCCATGAGCACGTACATTTTGCACCCTCAAATTTAGTTGTTTTTTTTGGGCATAAGCAAGTAAGAATGATCGCCAGCCGGTCAGATATTGAAATTCACAATTTTATATTGTATAGACTGGGTTGTTTTCTAACAGATTCATTGTTGGGTTGCGCGATGATATTCGTTGTTTTTAAACAAATTAAAACAAAATTAAAGTCGGTGAGAGTGCAGGCGAGCTGGTGGTAGCTAATCATGTCGTATTACACCTGAGACTGCGGTGGTAGAAATCGGAAGAACTTTCAGTAGAAGGAACAGACACAGAGAACGTCTCAAATTAAAGTTAAAGTACGCAATTATTCCCGCGATAAGACGTGAACCGACCATAACACCCTTGTACCAGTGAAAGGATTTTTAGGGGAAAAAAACGATTCCCTGTATGAAATTTACTCTTTCGGGAATATCTTTCTGGATTGCTCGGGCTGCCCGTACACTCGTTGCGGTAAAAGTGCCAAGAGCTAAGGAGAAAAAAGAAATAAGCACGCACACTCGTTCTCACTTCATCTCCCTCTCTCACACCAACACACTCACACACACATCACACGGACATAAACACATACACACAGAAACAGGCAGACGCAGGCACACATACACACAAGGTACACAAGCGCAGACACACGCACACACACATATACACACACGCGCGAGCGCAAGTACGCACATACGTTAGCACACAAATGAACCCAGCGCCCACGTGATTTTGACACGGCGTCCTTGCGGTTGTTTTGGGGACGTGTCGGCGGGGGGGACCCATCGGACGTGGTGTACCTAAATAGAGCTTCGGGACCAGGTATATGGTATATTTCTTCAAGGCGGTCGAAGGAGGCACCTGGCACGAGCGGCTCCGTGTCAATAAAGAAAGACGCCAAAGAGAGGCGAGACGTTTTGGTGCGCGCTGTCGCCAGCTTTCGAGCGCGTCTACGCCTGCTTGCCGGTCTCCCAATTACGCGTACTACGTCTCACCGTGCGTTGGAAAATGGCTAATGCTACGTCCCCGGTCAGCCAATCAGCGCGTCGGAAAGAGACACGTGACTTTGCTCCAACTCACTAGTTGCCCGTTGTGCTGTTATAAAGCCAGGGGCGGGAGAGAGGGGGACAGCCGCTTTTGTACGAATTCTAAGTGACAGGCTAATTTTCGAGGGGGCCAATTGTGCCGAATGCGACACACAGAAGAAGGTCTGGGTAAGAGGGAAGCTTCCCATCTCCCTCTTCTCCATCCAACACATTGGGTTCCGGTCTCGCCCACGTAGATTTGCTGAGGACTTTCACTTGCTTCGCATTCGTTGGTCCGATTGACTCCAGGGGTCCGCAGCGCTCGCTCTTTGCCAAGTCACGGTAAAACAAAGTATAAGATCTATAGCCTTCGTTGAACCGCGCGAAAGCTAATAACGTTCGTGATGAGGCCCTTCACCGGTCTGTTCTTGTTTGCGAAACCTTCGCGCGCCGACCTATTCTTAGGCGAGGCTTAATTAGTGCCCGATAGAGTCAGATTCCGCGACACTCGATTTGTTTCTGCCCGAAGGTTTCACGTCGTCTTACTTATTTGAGATGGGAAATCCAGCATCAAGACCCCGCCACCCACCCTAGTTTCGAGATTTAGGCCTTCGCGTGGATTGTGTGATTAGGTGATCTCGACGACTGCCACGCTTTCTCGGATGTTTGATTAGCGCGTCAATGCGGTGAGAATAATTAGGGACGTTTTTTATTGCTTGACGAAATTTATTTAACTTCAACTCAGATATATAGTTCGAAAGAATTCGTTCTTTTTGTCTTGCCTGAAGATGATTCTGAAAAGAGAATCGTACGTAACGTTTCACCTTTTAGCTTTGACCACGTGACGTGACTTGACACGATGACGTCACATAACTTGCCGCCACGTGACATGGCGACATAACCACGTGGAACGATGGTGTGACGTGACCGCGACGTCACCCGATGGCATGTGACTACGTGACAATCACGTGACTTCCGTGAACGAACCTTCTGTCCGAGGAACTTTGGCGAGAGTCTTATCATCTTTTATAGAGGAAATATAAACGCATCAAATCACAAAAGCAGGTTTGGGCTTTAAGAGGTTTGAAAATGTAAGTATTGTGGGAGGCACATTTGTTTTGTGACGTGCATGTGACTAACTAGAAACCAAAAACTTATTTAATGCGTTCAGCTACGTACTTTTTTTAATACCACTAAAGAAAACAACAAAGACCCGGTTCTTTTAAAGGACACGCATTTCCTTGTCAGATGCTGATGGCAACGTAATATTAGATTTGAATTTTTTTTGCAGACAATTTGACCTTGCGGTTACTAATATTTGGATCAGGGAAACATGGCTGCTATATAGTCATGAGCCAGTGTTTAGATTATTTTTATCATACTTGTCCTTGCGACTTAAACATGCGTAGACTTGCGCGTAACGCGCTACAGGTTACTTGTGCCTAGGTACCTTTTTCAGTAGCAGCGTAGTGACCTAGCTACCTTTTTGGAGAAGAAACGAGTAAGTATTTTTTTTATGAAGAAACAATTAATGGTATTAAGTTACGTGTGGAGTGGAACGTGCACAACATAAACACCCAATCTTCTCACCCCATTTCGCACCGTTAATTTGCACGACGAGCAAACGCTAGATAGAACAGAAAACAAAAATGTGTACAAGGTATGTCAGTATAGCCACAGCTATTCCTGAATGAACGCGTCACAAATCCCCCCAAAAAAAGATTAACGACGAGAAATATCGGAATCAGCTAATTCTTTATGCAAAAGTTATCCACTCAAAGTAACGAGCAAATAACTCCTTACAGACAGTCGAACTGGAGTACCGCCTTCGTTTTAGTCGCAGTAACAGGTAACGAATAATTCGTAACTCTTTGAGTAAGTAATGCCATTTAGGTATCTTATTTCACTAACGCGTGCACATGTCTGCCCATACGTTGCTATTTAGGTATTAACTAACTTAAGTTCTCTGTAGCAGTTTTGCTTCCCTCCATCGAACAACAGAAGTGGAACGAAAACCCCGAATAACGCTTATTCCTCGGCGGTTCAGCGGCATTTAAAGAGATACCGAGAAAGGAGCTGCATGTTATCAGCAAGTTCAACGAGTAACAAGACTAAACGCGACCACGGAAATAACACTTTCACCATGTTAAACTAGAATGTTGTAGGAAAATGTCTTGCTATGAGGACGACAAAAGTTTAGACAAGCTCGTATATATATATATATATATATATATATATATATATATATATCAGTGTGTCGAATCGAAAAAAATACGGGTTCGGTTACGGTTCAGATTCAGGTAAATTTATTTTGTTCCGGTTCAGTTCCGGTTCGATTAATTCGATCCGCGAACCGGTTCGGGGCGCTGAACCGGTTCGCGAACCGGTTCGGAAATTATAAATGACAAGTTGCAACATCGAAATAAATTACAAATAAAACATCTGAAATCTGCACATACGAAACGGGATACATCGTAGTGTAAGGCTCAGGGATTTCTACCAGGAATGGTTTCTTTATGTGCACTCAAAGGTTACCTCACCGACGCTTACGCATTCGGACTTCATCTAATTGGGTCCGACGCAGTAGCTGTAAAATCCGCGACCTCCTTACAAACCCACTCACAAGTGGAACTCGCTAACTATCCCGCCACCTCGACGTGTAAGCAATTGAAGGAACAGTGGGGAGAAA